CTAGGCGGCGCGCACGAGCGGGAAATCAGCCTGGAATGTAAACAGCCGGCGATGACTGTTTACATACAAGCGTTCGGGGGTCTGTAGAGACGCCCGATCGCTTGTAATATGCGGTCGGGTGTGCGCCCCCCCCCGCCGCTGCTGGCGATCCCGAGCTCCGTTGTGCCCGCTGTGAGCCCGGGACGAGCACAGCGGCTCTGCGGCCGGGGATCATACAGTGTCACTCTCCAGCTACAGAAAACCGGAGAGAAGCTGGTGGAGCTGGTGTTTGCTTCATCAGCTTCTCTGGGGGTCCCCAGGTGACATTAGGTGTCTTTAAGACCCCCTGATGCCTCCATAAAGAGGACCTGTCACTGTAAATTGCCTATCACATAGGGGGCGTGTTTGCTCCCTATGTGAGAGCAATAAAGTACAGTGGGAAAAAAAGGTTTAAAAAAATTAAAGTTACATTAAGAAATTAAAAGTCACATATCAAAGCAATAAAAAAAAATTAAAGTCCCCCGCCCCCCACATGCACACGCAAACATGCGTCGAGTCCGCCTACGCGCGAAAATGATGATTGCGCCCATTGCGCCGCACATGTTACATATCGCCGCGAACGTCGGAGTGAGAGCGATAATTCTCGGCCCGCCAATCACCGATAACACCAGAGGAGCGGTAAAAGCTTTTAAAGCGTCGCCTATGGGGAAATTTTGGGTAATGTAGTTTTTGCGATTTCGCGGGTGCGCGCAATTTTAAAGCTTGACGTGTTTGGTGTCTATTTACCCGACGTGACCCCGACTTTTATATTTTACCAAAAAACTGGGTGATAATAAATGTTTTCTAACATAACAGAGGGAGAACAGGGTTTTTTTCAATATTTTCGGTACTTTTTTCATTATAAAGTAAAAAATAAAAACCGCAGTTGTGATTAAATACCCCAAAAGAAAGCTCGATGTGTCCCCAAAAAATGGTATAAAATTCATGTCAGTGCGGCGTTGTATGGCGGAATAAATGTCAGTCAAAGTACCGCAGCGCTGAACACTGAGCAATGGCGGGGACAGCAAGGGGGTGTAACACCGCGGACAGGAAGGGGGTGTAACACCGCGGACAGGAAGGGGGTGTAACACCGCGGACAGGAAGGGGTTAATGATAGGCACCAAACCAGCCATTAGGAAGTCTCTAAAATTAGAAGCATAGTTTAGAAATAACCGGACTCAGCTCTCTGAGAGCTCCAGGGTGCAAGTCTTCTGGTCGGGCACTTTATTCACATTTATTGGATCTTGTGGTTCATACCAGGGATGCAGCAGTACCAGTATTTTGGTACCGGTATTTTGGTACCGCTACATTTGTTTCAGTACTCGCCGATACCAATTACCGAGTACCAGTCCCATTCCCGGAAGCCAAGTGGCGTTTAATGACTCGCCACCCGGCTTCCCGATTAACAAGAAAGTCTGTCCAGCCAGGAGCGGCCTTCCTCCAGTCCCCAGCCGGAGCCGTCTTGCTGGCCAATCATGGAAGCCGGGGGCCGTGTAATGACGCAACGCCCTGGTTTCTTATTGGACGGGAGGCCGGCTCTATGCTCCCTCGTCATGAGATGACGAGGGAGCATGAAGCCGGCTTCCCGGCCAATCAAGAAAATGGGCATTGTGTAATGACGCGCCGCCCGGCTTCCTGTTACCGGAAGTATCGGGATAGGTATCGGAGCATTGGGGCGAGTACTAACCCAAATACTCGGCACCGATATCTATACTAGTATCAGCGCATTCCTAATTCATACCATAGATGAGACATTGTGTCTATTCCATCCGCATATCATTATCACCAACATCGTCCCTTTCTATACACAGAGACAGACGCTTCATGTTTACTTTGTGACCACCTCGGAGTCATTTTTAGAGGACACTTTTCTTTCCTTTCGTTTCCTTTTCTTTTCTTTTCCTTTCGTTTCCTTCCTTTCCTTTCCTTCCTTTTGTTTCCTTCCTTTTCCTTCCTTCCTTTTGTTTCCTTCCTTTTCCTTCCTTCCTTTTCCTTTCCTTCCTTTCCTTCCTTCCTTTTCCTTTCCTTTCCTTCCTTTCCTTTCCTTTTCCTTTCCTTTCCTTTCCTTCCTTTCCTTCCTTTCCTTTCCTTTCCTTTCCTTCCTTTCCTTTTCCTTTCCTTTCCTTTCCTTCCTTTCCTTTCCTTTCCTTCCTTTCCTTTTCCTTTCCTTTCCTTTCCTTTCCTTCCTTTCCTTTCCTTCCTTTCCTTCCTTTCCTTTCCTTTCCTTCCTTTCCTTCCTTTCCTTCCTTTCCTTTCCTTCCTTTCCTTTCCTTTCCTTCCTTTCCTTTCCTTCCTTTCCTTCCTTTCCTTTCCTTCCTTTCCTTTCCTTCCTTTCCTTCCTTTCCTTCCTTTCCTTTCCTTCCTTTCCTTTCCTTTCCTTCCTTTCCTTTCCTTCCTTTCCTTCCTTTCCTTTCCTTCCTTTCCTTTCCTTCCTTTCCTTCCTTTCCTTTCCTTCCTTTCCTTTCCTTTCCTTCCTTTCCTTTCCTTCCTTTCCTTCCTTTCCTTTCCTTCCTTTCCTTTCCTTCCTTTCCTTCCTTTCCTTCCTTTCCTTCCTTTCCTTTCCTTCCTTCCTTTCCTTCCTTCCTTTCCTTCCTTCCTTTCCTTCCTTCCTTTCCTTCCTTTTCTTTCCTTTCCTTTCCTTTCCTTTCCTTTCCTTTTCCTTTTCCTTTCTTTTCTCAGTTTGTAGATTTGAAGGATTTTGGGTCCATCAAACATCTATAACAGGAAGTGATGAGATGATCTGCATGTTGGTTTTCATGTCCTCGTCTCCTGTATTCCGTCTTCAAGGTTCTGATTTGTTTTCTTCTGTTTTGGACTTTCCAGAACCATCTTCAGTTCTTCCAATCCGTCTTCTCGTTGTCTCGCAGTCCTCGTTCTCTTCAGCATCTCTGCCGCTGCGCCCTGCGCTCACACTTGGAGGGGCGGATGTCACAGACTCTGCCCAAGCTGCCCCTTCCTCCTGCTCTCCTGGAGTTCCTGCAGCTTCGGTTTGAGGACGTCCTGTACTGAGTGTTGGGGATCATCAGACACGGAGAGGACTAACCCTTTAAGGACTCCCATCAGCTCTTCTAGATGGTCATTGGACACCATGGAGAAGACTTGTGTCACGTGACCTGTCATAACCTAACTCTCCATATTGGTGTTCCGGAATGTTCTATATTTCTGTGAATGAGAAGCTCATAAAATGTAACATGAAACCTTCAATAAAGTGTGTTTGGACTTTCCAGGTTCCATAGATTAGACTTGTCACAGAGAACATTGTCTGGGTGTCTGTATGTGGTCTAGGGCTGCAACAACTAATCGGCTAAATCCATTATAACTGATTATTGAAAAAGTTGTCAACATTTTCAATCATCGATTAATCGGCTTCCGATAAGTTGGCTCTGTTCACGGCTCCACACACGCTACACGCCGCACCTCCTCCTCACCTCGCACGCGCCGCTGCCAGACCCGCCCACCGCATCCAGGCTCCACACCTCCTCCCCGCCTCACGCTCACCGCCTGCCCACATCCACGATCATCACAGGGACGCAGGGAGAAGAAGAAGTAAGGAGGAGCAGGCGTGGGGGGATGACAGACAGGCCCGATCTCAGAGGCAAGTTGCTGGAAGACTCCCCCCCCCCCACATGGTGCTGTATAATGTATTGCTGGGAGTTGTAGTCCTCTATAGCTGGAGGTATTCTGCATTGCTGTATAATGTATTGCTGGGAGTTGTAGTCCTCTATAGCTGCTCATTCACTTCCATGGTGCCACCCCCACCATGTATCCCGGGTTCCATTGCCCCTCCTGTGGACCTGGGACTGGCATGGCGACTGTGGGTGGGAGGACATCACTGAACGAACGTGCTGCATGAAGCTGGAAGCGATGAGCTTTTCATCATTCCCCGTTTTAGAGCTGCTGCTGTGGCCAGGGAGGCAGCTGAACATGCCCGGTCTCATCTTCATTATCACCTTCTCCTGGCCTCCTTCTCTTGTCATCCTTCTCCTGACCTCCTTCTCCTGACCTCCTCTCCTCTTTCTCCTGACCTCCTTCTCCTCTCCTCCTTCTCCTGACCTCCTTCTCCTGACCTCCTTCTCCTGACCTCCTTCTCCTCTCCTCTTTCTCCTGACCTCCTTCTCCTGTCCTCTTTCTCCTGACCTCCTTCTCCTGTCCTCCTCCTGACCTCCTTCTCCTGACCTCCTTCTCCTGTCCTCCTTCTCCTGACCTCCTTTTCCTCTCCTCTTTCTCCTGACCTCCTTCTCCTGTCATCCTTCTCCTGACCTCCTTCTCCTGTCATCCTTCTCCTGTCATCCTTCTCCTGTCATCTCCTGACCTCCTTTTCCTCTCCTCTTTCTCCTGACCTCCTTCTCCTGTCATCCTTCTCCTGACCTCCTTCTCCTGTCATCCTTCTCCTGTCATCCTTCTCCTGTCCTCCTTCTCCTGTCCTCCTTTTCCTGTCCTCCTTCTCCTGTCCTCCTCCTGACCTCCTTCTCCTGTCCTCCTTCTCCTGACCTCCTTCTCCTGACCTCCTTTTCCTCTCCTCTTTCTCCTGCCCTCCTTCTCCTGTCCTCCTTCTCCTGCCCTCCTTCTCCTGTCCTCCTTCTCCTGACCTCCGTCTCCTGGCCTCCTTCACTGATTTCAGTGCCGGAACGTCTTCAACCATCTGCCTAATTGTAAAGACATTGTACAGAGCTACAGATGCACAGATACCAGTGCCAGGTTGCAGCTGGGACCGGGGCCCCGGCGCTCCAACACTGTCCTGAAATCATTAGTCAATATTGTTTTAGAAAAACTGTCACGTGACAATAAACAAAAATGGATTAGTATCAGTACTTGTATGTGTGAGGACATGGAGAGGTATCA